TATATATATATACTCATGGGGATAATATCGGTTTTATAGTTATGTAAGTGTAACATTTCACTTATTGTAACATTATAGATTTTATTGATAAAAATATGAAAACAACGAGTAAAAAGATAATTTCAATATCTCAATTATATTTTAGGTGATGATGGATGGTAACATCGCTATAGGCTACGAATGAATGTTGTGGATGAAAAGAGAGATTAATGATGAGAGGTAAGACAAATGGAAAGAAAGAGAACGATGCAGATGACGCTTTTCATATATGTCAATTTCGATGTAAATGTAGAGCAACGAAATGGCTACTCGACATCTGTATCGACGTCGATACAAATGCAAGTAGCGAAAGAGCAATGATCTACTATAAGCTAGATGTGGCCTTTCTTTGTTAGACCCATGACATGTCCATTCATAATGTCAACTTCCTCGTGGCTCACCACATCCGTCGAGTCACTTGTCACTTGCCATTCCATTGACACTGGTTATCATGTCGAGTATAGATCTCTCGTGATTAAAGATATGCTTTAGAGTGCCTATGAGGCTAATCATTATCACCACGTCACCAATTGCACGATTCATCAAGCCCGACTTGTCGACGTAGTTATCGAGTAGCACTAATGCAAACTTAAGAGTATCAAGAACATCTGTGTCATCCTTTTTCTTCTCAGTCATAACCCAAAATATAAATGGAACTTTAAAATTACTTTTTACCTAACGTTTTCGTGTTTCACGGTGCCTAGGAACGAGCAAAGAATCCTTCGATGCTTACGTGCGCCATGGATCCTATCATACCAAATGAGCCGTGATTTCCACGACGAAAGAAGTATTCGATAGATCAAATGATGATGGTCGAAAAAGAAACCCATCGGATGTGAAGATTCAACTCAAATCAAAACGAGATGAGGTAGGATTCGTCAAGATAGATTGGAAACCAAGTGTCCTAAAAGTGAAATCGGAGGAATTCGAGACAGATTCTTGAGATCGAGCATATCGGAGTTGAGATCGTTGCTTTCGAGGCCATCAAAGATCGAAAACGAAAGAGGAAGTTTAGATATCTAACCTGGATTTTCGCCTTTACTCTGCCGCTTCTCCTCCCAAGTCGAGGCTCGATGCAATCAAAGATTAAAAGCGAAGGAAGAACTTTAGATATCTGACCTAGCTCTTCGCCTTTACTCCTCTCTGCTCCTTCACCGCCTTTCGACTCGGGAGAGAAGACGACGTCCTGATGGGGCTTCAAGCGAAACAGAAGTAACGAAACACATGTCATCGGTTAAGAATTCGAACTGCCTGTTTGATTCGATGGAATATTCTCGTCGTACGTACAAGTGCCGACCGGTGAGAGCCATCTGATGAGCCTCATCGATCCATGATGCGGTGATCTGATGTTGATCGGACGCAACTGAAACGGTGACGAACGCTCATAGCGTGTGTTGTGCAGCGGAGTGTGGCGTGACTTGATGTTTGCATGTTATTGGGTCGGATTCGGTTCAGTCCATTACGAGTAGTCAACCAAGCATATCTTCCGGAACAAGCTATTTCCCTCAACCGTTCGATGCATCCATCCACGACCAGGAAAGAACGGGAGCGAAACCCAAACCAACCCAATTCCTCGACCCGCACCGCTAAAATTCCCACCCTTCTCCCATGAACTCTCAAGCACGCGAAATCGAAACGCATCTCGAAGCCCGCCCTTTTCCTACTCAACTCCCCGTCGTCCTTCCTCTAAACCTTCCCCTGATTCTCCTCTCTTGCTCTCGCGCTTTCATCTCCGATCTCGTCGCTCTCTTTCTCAATCTCTCTCGTGAGGTCTAACGATGGGGAGAGGTTCATCCAGGTCCAACCCGTCGAGGCCGCGGAAGAGGGTGGAGGCGGAGACGGCCAGCACGCCAAGGATGAGAGGGCCTTCGCCAGATGGTATGATCCGTTCCTTTCTTCCTCTTTCGGCACTCGTTGGGCAACGATCTGTCATGACTTTTTCATCACCGGTGCTGAAATCTATGATTTGGTAATAGCCAGGCATGCAATAAGAATGTCGCTGTTGTTCTCATAGACGTGCACAGCTGCGGTCTCGATTCCAAAACCAAAATGACCCTTGCTACGCTCTTTTGTGATTTCATGTATTATTGATTTCTTATGTCTCATTCTGATAGTGTTACTGCAGCAGAGTCCTAGGGAGAAAGCAGTTGAGGCAAAGAAGCCGACAGAGAAGTCATTCTCATACAACATGTCCGTGCACAATCATATGTGATCATTCTGCTTTCTGCTCATTTTTTCATTCCATTTGATTGCAGAAAGAGGGTCGCCTCATCTGAGAGTAAGGAGAAGAAGGCAAAGAAGGGGAAGAAGTCCAAAGACCCTAGTGCTCCCAAGCGCCCTCCAACTGCTCAAGTTCTCATTTAAACTATTGTTAAGCCTTTTTAGGACTCCCCTAACTAATTTCGATCTATGTAATGTTGCTGTAGGGAAGACTTTAGGAAGTCATACAAAGAGGCTAACCCCGATAACAATTTGATTTGTTCTCTGCTCATGATTTTAAATTAAGATTCTTCAGTTTGTTCCATTGTTACTTTTTTTGACTGGATCATAACAGGTGTCCAAGGAAGGTGATGAGAAGTGGAAGGCCATGTCAGATGGAGTGTTTTATAGACTTTTGGATTATTAATTTGTTAAATATAATTTATGAGTGGCCATATTTAAATTCTTATTGCCTAAAACTAGGAAAAGAAACCCTACATTGAAAGGGCAGTTGAGCTGAAAATAGGGAAAGCATTAGAGAAACACAGTCAAGAAGATGATGGGGAAGTATGTGGATTGTTCATCAACCCTGGTTCAATCACAATTTGCTATTTTTATGTGTAAAGTGATTGCTTCTTCCTCTTTTTACAGGAAAAGAAAGGGTCGTATAGGGAAGAAGAAGAGATAGAAGAAGAAAATGAAGAGTAAGAGACTACTACTAGTAGAAATTCGTATGAGAATTGTTTCTCCTTTCTGTAAATTTAAGAATCTCGTTAACTGCTTTTGGATAGTTTGTTTCTCATGTGTTGCTTATTCAATATGGCTAAACCATTTTCAAGATGTTTAGTGTTAGGACCAAATTCTGTGTGGTGCTTATGCCCCCATCTGTTTCCAAATTTAAGTGTTTTTATAATATGTTTTGTTGGATTTTAGTCATGGAACTACTAGTGAAATTTGCCAAACATGGACAGGACCTCCTGGATGAGTTGTTAGGTGACCTTGACAAAGTTTATTACTGAAATATGTCTCATTATGCCTTAAATTCAGTAACAATCAACAATTTGTGATAGATCAGCAACATACCAATTACTGGAAGAATGATTAGTATAAATATCAATGCATGCCACTCATCATATTGCTCAGGATGCTACCTTATTTAGGGTCTTATTAGGATACAAAACATTTGTATATTGACATCTTCATGACATTTTTTGTGAATGTAAGTGATTCCAATACAAAAATATTAAGGTAAAGGAATTGGGAACAGGGATAACTTGTTCTCAGTGAAGCCTCACTGATTATATCTAGGTTAGCACTTTGCTGAGTATTCATACAACCCAATTAGGGTTTCTTACATGGTGACAATGGTTGCCCACATAGGCACATGTTGTGAGCATAGGCGGCAGTAGGAAAGATGTTGAAAGGCCTTGACTGAGGAATCTGCCCACACAATCTGTTTGCCCTGAAGCTTGCATGCCTAATGTTCACTAATCTGGTGAGGTTATTTGGTACACTGCCATTAAGCCTGTTGATAAATCCAGCCATGCAGTTTCATCATTTGGCCCATGCTTGGTGGGATCATCCCCTTGATTTGATTCCTTGAGAGATCAATCCTTTGCAGACTTATGGAAGTTGGGATTTGGCCCGAGATCCCATTATTTGACACGACCTGCTATTTCAAGCCCAACCAACCACTAAATTCTGGCAATCTTCCAGTGATCCTGTTGTTTGAAATATCCACTAATTGCAAGAACTTGTTGGCTTTCTGCAGGAGTCCTGATACTGATCCATAGAGCTGATTCATGTGGAGGTCAGGCAGTTGAAGTCTTGAGATGTCAGAGCTGAGCATGTTGCTGGATAGTCTGAGTTCCTACAAGTTTGTCATGTTTGTGAAGAACTCACCAATTTCTCCTGTAATATAATTCTCAGGCAGGTCTAAGGAGTTCGAGGACTCTGGTGATGTAAATGGCTTGAGGTTTCCCCTGATGTGGCAGCCTGCAAGGTGTACGTCTCTAAGCTCTCTGCACCAAATCCAATCTGGTATTGTTTGTAAATGGAGATCATTATAGGACAGATGTATGGATGAGAGAGAAGGCAAGCCATTTGGAAGTTCATTAGGCAGGGGATCCGAAAACCCATTCCTTAGACAGGTTGAGATACCATAGCTTCTGCAATCTGCTCAAGGATTCTGGAATGGAGCCACTAAGCAAATTGGCACCGAGTGAAAGAGAAGTGAGGGATTTGAGGCCATCAATCTGGTGTGGAATTTGACCTGTAAGCTTGTTCTGACTCAATGAGATGTCCATAGCATTAGACAAGCTGCACAATGACATGGGTATTTCACCTGAGAACTGGTTGTTGGAAAGGTCAACGAAGGTAAGGTTTTGATACTTGCCAACAAAGCTAGGTATCTCTCCAGACAACATGTTTTTGCTTAGATCAAGGGATTCCAGACTATGAAGACTGCTAAAGGCTGATGGTATAGGGCCCGTCAAAAGATTCCTCCCCATGTTGATCTGGAGCAAACCTTTGATAGACCCAAGAGTTGGAGGCAACTGCCCTTGCAGAAGGTTCCCACTCAATGAGAGCGTCTTCAGGGAGGTAAGCCTCCCCAAGCTTGAAGGTATAGAGCCTTGAAGCATGATTTTATCCTCAAGGTAGAGCTGGGTGAGGCAGTTCAAGCCTAAGAATCTCTCAGGGATGCTCCCACTTAAATCTTCTTCATTCCACTAATCTAACATTCTGAAGGACGCCACAGTCATCCTCCTCTCTTCATGGACCGGCCTCGATTGCCACCTCATCACAGGGAGAGTCACAGCCTTGGAGCTACAGAGGGCCCAGAATGGAGGTGGAGCTTTCCTGTTCATGAAAGGTATACTGTCCCCTTCCTAGGTAATGGTGTTTTTGTTCTTTTTTCTATTGTTAAAATCTCGTCACTTGTCCCTCTACATCTTCCATTAAAGCCCATGACAAATCAAAAGCCTTCAGAATAAGAGGAGTTGCAGCAACTCATCTCAGAGCAATTACCAGAAGGAACTGATGGCAGTGTCCGGTACATGCATGCTTGGTAGCCGAAGGTGATGCTTTCCACTGCAAGTATTATCATGTCAAATTAGGATTGAATTGCCTATGATCTACCATCGAAGTGGGGGCACCAAAGAGAATGATAGGCCCTTGTACCTTCGCATGGTTTCTCCATGGCTCAACCATGGAGATCTGTTGGGCCTAAGCAATGTGCTGCCTTGATTAAGTGCAAGTTGCAGTCTTTGTGTTCTTTAGCAACAGGAGCACATCAAATTGTTGACCAATGTCACAATGAATATTTCTAAACGGAGAAGAATCACATAAAAAGTCTTTCCACTTCAACTAAGAACAGTGGTCCAAAAAGGATCTTTGCCCCTGCATTCCTGGTCACTGTTTGTTCTCAGTTGGTGGTTCTTTAGTACTGAGTTCTCAAACAATTTGCAAGCTTTATGGCTTTTCTGAGCTCACCTCTAAAAGGTCACACAGCAAATTTTCTGGCTTTTGTGTTTGCTCATCTCCAACATATTTCTATCAATTGAGTTGTTTATCCTAACCTATGCAATACATATTATAATAACAATTGTGATGATGCTGGAAGAGTCTCAATTGGATGTAGCTCACATGAGGTGGCCACTAACGGGTAGAATTTGCTTATTCTCAGTTCATTTAAGTGCATTATAACAACTTCATACTTTATCTACCGTTCGAAAGATCTGATCCGATTCTTTATATTTTATGTTGTGTGTATATATGCACGGATTTTATAAAGAAATCACAGGTCCATATCTAAATTGGATCGGGACCGACTGTTTTGTTTGACATGGATTTTATAAAGAAATGACAGATCCAATAAGAATCGAACCTGAGCCGAATTTATGATCAGATAATTATGAATTTTGTTCAAGTCTGTTCAAGTCCTTTTTAATTGACCATAAACTGCTTAAGTTGTTATAGTTTACTCATTTTTAAAATAATTTTATATAAAAATATATAATATATAAGTTTCTTTTGTCAAATTTGAGTTAATAGGTGTTATAGTGGATATAGACTCACAATAAATTATTAATAAAATGACATGTGTAATTTAAGTTTAAAAAATAGTTAAAATTTATTTTAGCCCCTACGGTTTGATTATGGATGACTTAAGCCATTATAGTTTATTGTATCTAAAATAATCTTTATATTTTTTAAAAAATATAGCATATAAGTCTCTTCCGTCAAATCTGAGTTAACAGATATTATAGTCAGCTTATGTGACATATTGACTCATAATAAATCATTAATATAATATCATATGTAATATAAGTTTTAAAAAAAATTGAAGTTCATCTTGTCGAGAAAGAGGAAGCGACAGAGGTCATAGTGGTGAACGAAAATGGAAAGGCCGAAAGCGAAGGTGAGGGAGAACTGGACCACTATGTTGTAGGCGCGGCAAGTGGGGACACAAGAGAAGACAAAATGGGAGGTAATGAGGATGAAGACGCTTAGGAGGAAGAGAGATCAGAAGATCACTACATGCCTAGCATTGGAATAATCGATACACATCCACCTAAGGTAAGATCGAAAACTCCTAAACTTGTCGTCAACACGAGAGAGATTGTGTGCATACGATGCCTTTCTAGACAACCGTGGCTTAGTGTTGATGCTAGTGATCGCTTCTACGACGACGTCTTTTCCTATCATTGATGGTGGTTTCAGGTTTTTTTTAAAATTTAAATTATATATATCATTATATTAATAATTTATTATGAGTCAACATATCAAATAAGCAAACTCAAATCTATTAGCTCAGAGTTGATAGGATAAACTTATATGTTATATTTTTAAAAATATAAAGATTATTTTAGATATAAAAAAATTATAATAACTCATGGTCAAAATCATACGAACTAAAATAGACCTTCATATTTTTTTTTTACTTAAATTATCTATATTATTATATTAATAAAATATTTATATACTATAATTTTAAAAATATAATGATTATTTTAGTTACAAATAAACAGTATAAGTTAAGTGAAAAATCACATGGCCCTTAATCCATTTTGCTCCGTCGGATCCATTGTTTCAAGTTTGGATCCGCTAGCTAGAGCCGTTATCGTCTTCACGGCTTTGCACGCGGTTCGAGTACAGTTACTAATCTGTTGGCTCGATCCATTGTAAGAAACAAAAAAGGAATACGTAATTAGGTACAGCGTTGTCTCTCCAAAGCCCTCCTCCCCTCTTCACAAAACTCCTCGCTTCGGAGGGGGATCGCCGCCACGCCACGCCGCCACCCTGCTCTCTGTCTCCTCCGATCCGCGGATCACCGCCACCGTACCTGGATTCTCCGTCTCCTCTGATTTTGACGATTGCCCGCGCCAATCGTACAGATCCCGGGCGTAGCTCCGCCCTCTCTCCCCGATCTTCACCCTCTCCTCCCACCGCACCTCATTCCTTGATCTCCACGTCTCTGCTGGGTTCCTCCGTCACTGCCACCGTTCTCCAGGGCTCCCTGGGGATCCATTCAAAGATAGATCGCCGAGGTACTGTATCTTTTTATGCTAGATTTGTAGCTGGAGACCTTGAATTCCTCCTTATCTGCTCGATAGTCTGTGTATTTACTCTAGTTTCCTCGCACTTTGCGAGGGCCGAGGATGATTTGTATTCGTAATTTGAGATGTGTGAAATCAGAATATTCGAGAACTTATAGAATGCAGTTTAATATTTTTCCTTCATCTTTAATAAAATATATAACTTTCTGAAAAGTCATATGAAATTAAAAATGGAAAAAACCAAATAGGCATAGAAGGTTACAACGAAAAAACAAAATGATTCATTAAAAATGATTGTTGTATAACTACTATAATCATATTATTAAGTATTAATGCAGTGAAGTATTAATACATAAATTTTATATGAATTGAAAACAAATCACCTCTATTTTTTAAGATAGCTATTTACCCATTTCAACTTCAATGTTTCTTTAATCACTTTGTGGGTGAAGTGTGAGGTGTTGAGGTACTATAATAATAATTAAATAAAATAATTCTGTGATGGGGATGCCCATAGAACTTGACATTATTCTCATATCCTATGACCTCTTCCTTCTTTTTTATGACATCCAACTTCCTAAGAGATCAAGGATTAGTTTTTATCTCTGTTTTCTACATCAACATGCTTTCTTCTTTGTTTTACTGGTGGTAGAGAATAAACATTACAACAATGGTGGAAGATGATAGATTTGATGATTACAAGGATTAATGAACACATCAATCAATTTCAGCATCTCCTCTGATACATAGTTTTTTTTTTTAATTCTTCTTTTCATTTTGTCATCCCTCTTCATCATCTTCTGCTTCTTAGTTAAGGAAAACCAGAATTGTAGACAAAGCTGATAATTTGCTGGCTAGATTGACCATAATCTGCAATTTTATGCTATCACCCAGTTCTTTTTAAGTAGGTAAATGCCTTCTATGATGAATTGCATGCTCCGTATCCTTTCTAATACATCTATACTCTGTCGAAGTTCTATAAACATTTGCTTGCAATAATGATGGGAAGCTTTTTCTGGTGTCGTAAGGATATTTTTGTCAGATCTTAGTGAAATGAGCTTGTTCTTTTCATCCTGGAAATAATTTATGATGTCTATTTGTCATTAAAAATAAACTTTCATATCTCTGCTTTGATATTTTGAAAAAAGATATTAGTTTATATGTCATTGCTTCTTGCTATTACTACCTATTATTTTCAGAAATTTTATCCAAAATTCTATTGTCAGTAGTTAAAGATGCCATCTGGGTGCAAAGACTAATGTCCACAACATCTGAGAAGAAAGAACTAATATCCACTGTGCATTATCATTTTGAAGTTTGGTCAACACTTTTGTTGGTTGACATTACAAGTAGTGACAATCTTGTGAAAGTTTCACAGTTTGCAGATTCAGCATAATGCTTATAGCTGCATGGCCTCTGATCTGATGCTTGCTGTTTATCTTTGTATTATTGATCAATCCAGTCATTGTAGTTGATAACAAATATATTTTCAGGTACAAAGTTGTATATCACAAAGTTGCGGATTGATTCCTCATATTTATTTGGTGTTGGCGACAAACCAGAGGCAAATGATATTTAGTGACACTGCAGTACTTCATCCACTGTCTGCTAAAACAAGTTCTATTATATCACTCCTGAAAGGGAAGACAGCATGCGGCTTTCCTTGTCTCTGCAAGATCTAAAATCATTCTCTAAATTAAATTCAGGAGGGGTGGATGACCTTGTAAATGATAGGAGTTATGGACGTGCAAAACCTCTTCGTGCTCTTCAAAGGGAAGGTGCTGCATCAAGCTTTTCGAAGGAGAAATCCTCTCCGTCAACACCAACCAAACGGAAGATATGGGTACGAGCAACAATATTTGTCATTACAGTTCTATTATTGTTCTCATTGATCTTACTATTCTCAAGATTCTTTCGTACTTATTGGTCACGTGAGGCATCTGAGTATACTGTTGTACTCGATTGTGGTAGTACTGGGACACGGGTTTATGTGTACAAGTGGGCTGTTGATCAAAATGAAGGCACTAGAAATTTTCCTATTGCATTAAGGTCTTTACCTGAAGGTCCTCAGAGAGCTCCTGCAACACAAAGTGGTCGTGCATATCATCGTATGGAAACGGAGCCTGGTTTTCATAAACTTGTTCATAACGAATCTGGTTTAAGGGCTGCTTTGCAGCCACTGCTTCAGTGGGCTGAGACGCAAATACCAAAACATGCTCACAAAGGTACATCTCTGTTTCTGTATGCTACAGCAGGAGTTCGAAGGTTACCCAGTTCTGATTCAGAGTGGCTGCTGGAGAAGGCATGGACCATTCTGAAGAATTCATCATTTTTATGCAGGAGAGACTGGGTTAAGATTATATCTGGCATGGAGGAAGCATATTATGGGTGGATAGCTCTTAACTATCGTATGGGTTTCCTGGGTTCTTTACCAGTTGGAAAAACATATGGTTCACTTGATCTGGGTGGTTCATCATTGCAAGTTACTTTTGAAACAGAAACGCCCACACAAGATGACACAGGCATAGAATTGAGAATTGCATCTGCTAGTCACCATCTTAGTGCTTATTCTTTATCAGGATATGGATTGAACGATGCATTTGACAAATCTGTGGCTCATCTTTTCAGAAAGATCGTGGGTACGACAGATAATATTAATAATGACAAGTTACAGCTTAAACATCCTTGCTTAAATACTGGCTATAGGGAGGAGTATACATGTTCTCGCTGTACTTCAGCTAGCTTAGAAGGAAGTCCTTTGATTGGAGGGAAAACCATGACCAAAGGTCTGACTGGAACAACTGTTGAACTGCTTGGTGCTCCTGAATGGGATAAATGCAGTGCACTTGCAAAATTAACAGTTAATCTGTCTGCATGGTCTAACCTTAGTTCTGGAGTTGACTGTGAACTTAAACCTTGTGCTCTCAGTGATGGTTTGCCTCATCCACATGGGAAATTCTATGCCATGTCAGGTTTCTATGTGGTTTTTCGGTTTTTTAATTTGTCTTCTGAGGCTTCACTTGAAGATGTGCTAAAAAGGGGTCAGGTTTTTTGTGGAAAAACATGGGAAGTTGCAAAGAATAGTGTTGCTCCACAACCTTTCATAGAACAATATTGCTTTAGAGCCCCTTATGTTGCATCCCTTTTGAGGGATGGGTTGCACATTAAAGATAGCGAGGTTATAATTGGTTCTGGTAGTATTACTTGGACCTTGGGGGTAGCCTTATTGGAGGCTGGACAAACATTGTCCAACAGAATTCCACCACAGGGTTATAATATAGTACATGCGGACATACATCCGGCTATTCCTCTATTATTGCTTTTGATGTCAGTTGTATTACTTTGTTGTGCACTATCATGTGCAAGCAACTGGATTCCAAGATTTTCCCGAAGATCATACCTCCCACTTTTCAAGCATAACAGTGTCACAAACTCTGTTCTTAATATCCCTTCCCCTTTCAAATTCCAGCGGTGGAGTCCTATTATTTCAGGTAAGCTTCTCCATCGATGATAGTTTTGGTTCTCATATGCTTTAATCTTCTCTTTATGAGCCAAGAAAAAACCTTTTTTCACCCGTCTCCGGAATAGTTCCCTTTAGCTGTTACATAATCCAGAAATGATGCTTGTTAGCATTTCTTGGCTACATTTATCACATAGTTTTCCTTATTTGCCACATTTTAGAATAGAAAAACACTGCTGCTCTTCTTGTAATTATGGTGGCTGGGTGATGAAATATTTCAGAGTAAAGGATAATAGTGATGTAAATATTCTGAGACTGACAGTTGATATTGGTTGGTGTTTTAGTTAAAGTTCATGATTCTATTTTGACGTCCTCTTCCTTTTCTGTAAAGAACCTAATTTCATGCTTTCTGAATGAACTTCTGTTGACATTAAAGTCATTCCAATAAGCTATTTGAATTTCTGTGATATTTGCCTCTATCAGCTCCTGCATGATTGATAAGCAGTATAATTTTAGATTGTCAAGCTGTATGATGATTCCAATAACATCTTTCTACCCGTAGAAATTTCTGAAGTCCAGGAAAATGCCATGAATTCTGCAGGTGTACCATTTCAATTGTTTTTAAGCCAGTGGATTCATGAGCTTGATCAATTGATGTTTACTAATTCTGCTGTAATGATGGAAATTTATTAAAGTATTGGAAGCCAATTGTTTTCAAAATTATCAGCTTTTTTTTGTTACGTAACTAGATTAATTGAATGAAGATTTTATTGGCATGTTGCTATTGTTCATTGACCAAAAAAAACCAAAAACAGCATATGATCCTTTTCAATTTGTTTTTTTCTTTTAATATATTAGGTGATGGAAGGATAAAGACACCACTCAGTCCTACAATTGGTGGTTCTGGGCAGCACCCATTTAGCATGCGACATGATTTGGGAGGCAGCAGCATACAGCTTAGTGAATCTTCTGTGCATCCCTTGGTTGTTTCTCATAGTTCTTCATCTGGTAGTTTAGGCCAAATGCAGTTTGGCAATGGTGCGGGAACCTTCTGGCCACCTCACCGGGGTCAGGCAACACTTTCGAGCCGGAAATCTCAGTCAAGAGAAGATCTCGACTCTTCATTGGCAGAAGCTCATATGGTGAAGATTTGACCTAGAGGTTGCACTGCAGACCTGGTACAAGCTCTTAATTCTTTTTATTATATTTTCCATTATCTGGAGCAACTTCAGTAAAAAAGTTTAAACTAAAAATAAAAAGGAGTCAGAGAAGTCAACTTGTAGTTCACTTCCAAATTCTCAAAATCCTGGAAGACTCTGCCTACTGATTGCTGTAGCTTTGTGTGTTATGTGGTTCTTCTTTAGCAGGTGTTCAAATGTAACGGATCAAAATATCTGATGATATATCAACTTGCAACATTCTCCACGGCAGTCACACTTTATTTCTAACTTGATGAATCTCCACCTTTGGCCATATTTATATAACAATAATGAAGTATTTTCCTTCGGTTTTCATAAATGATAATATGAATTTGAATGGTCTCATCCAACTATCACCATTACAGTAAACACTGTTTGATGCACACCAATGATACAGTCGTCATTCATCTGGAATGACAAGCATGAGGTGGGGGTTTGTTTGGTTTTGTTGTTCAGCTTCGCTGAATGTAAGCAGTTGTGTATATCTTTCTTTTTGTAGAAAAAAATGTAATATTGATTATAACTGAGAATAAGCAAAATTACAGAGATATTCATACTGTAGAAACTTGCATATTTGCTAGATGCTTTTGCAAATATAGTTGGACAAAGTCAATTTAGTTGAAACTACTAAAGGGTCTCTCATCTTTTTTTGGTGGTTCAGGTTGGATGAGATTCACAAACCACAAATATTTATGATGTGGTGTGTGACAGTCTGACTCACAACTCTTGGTGCATCAGTTAGTGACTTTCAGAATCTATATGATAATATGAAGTTTAATTAAGTTGCTGAACATTGCTCTGTTTGTCAACTGCCAATTTTTCCCGGTAACTCTATGAGTTGACTATTTCTGCTTGAACTGCATCTTGGACAATGGAGAACTAATTTGATGTTTCTGATTCAATAGGCAAACAGAAGTAGACAAGGTTTTGGCTAGCAGCTAATGGAAAGAACTTTATCACACTGCCGGCAAGATGAATTAAGATTGCCCTACTCTCATTTCATTTCCTGTTGCAACCATGTGAAGCCCCATTGGCTTAGCAGTTAAACTAGTGATACTGGATACTATGTGTCCAAGGAATCTGTTATATAGATCATTATAATCATTAAAGGAATTCCATGATTTCTTTAAATCTACCTTCGTTTCAAGCACGCCATAGTCTACAATTATTTGTTGATCTCAAATATACTATATAAAAAGATGGTGCCAGTATGCCTTCAGTTCTTGGGAAACTATTTTTGGTTGTGCTCTTTTCATTCTAGGTTAGATCTATTTGCAATTCTGAAACTTCTGTTGTTGCAGTTGATTGTTCCACTTGACCTGTTCAATCATATTTCAAGAATTCATTTCATTTGTAGTTGAACTCTCATGTTTGGAACGACAAGCTTTGATGAATTCCATTTCGGAGGCTTTTTCTTCAATGAGAGCAATTAACTTTGTAGGTGATTTCCCAATATTTATTTCTGTTTGCAATAGTTATTTACAAGCATTTCAATTGAGAGCAATTAAATCCTCTCTTATTGTATTTAATAACTTTCAGATCTTTCCTGTGACATCATATAATAATAATTATTTTCTAGGCAAGATGCTCCAAATTGAACCTACCATGGACCACAGCCTCAGCTTTCTTCTTCTCCATTCCTCCTTGAGTTTGTTTGACAGATCATGTTCTACCAAACTACATGTATAGAAGGCAGTGGACACCAGCACAGTGTCCAAAGGATCCTCTCAAGGAGTGTGACAGGCCACCATCAACACACACACAAAGCTGGATCTTTCTCTGCTGGACTTGGAAACCAACTTGTCCAAGACTGATGACAAGTTATTGATTAGATTAATCGATTGATTGAATGCTGTTATCTTTTGCATGCTCAGAGCTATTGGCCTTGCAGTTCTTCCAATTGAAGATTTCCTAGACTCACCATCAACCTTGCTGAGAGACCACAAAGGTATTATCTCTTCCAATGCTAGCTTGTGTCATATGCCACAAATTCTGGTTTCTTTCACACTAATCTGCTGATAGTTTGATGTCCTGAAACACTGGTTTAGAATTTGCACTGGCCATTTATAATATATAGCTCACTGTTAACAGGGCCAGTTACTATTTGATGAAGAGAATAGCAAAAAGTGTAGAGATTAAGAATGTTTATAACCAACAAGTATTATGGTTGTGATTCAATCAATGACACAAGCATTTTAAATCAGCCATGCATTGCAGACCTGCAACAGGTCAAAATCTTAAATGATGTGCTCTTCCTTGTGGGGATCATTACAAGTTTCTCTTAAGACAAAGAGAAGTTTATATAAAGTGAACCTGTCATTGTCACCTTGAATCAAGACTGGGACTTTGATAGGCACAGATGACCAGACAATTCATGAAATGACCTCTTGGTTTGTAGAAGAACACAAGAAGTTTCAGGACTCTTATAAGTAAGAAATGTCTTTCTTCTTGCAAGAAGAGCATAGTAATATATGAAATGAGTGGATCATCCTAATCCATTAAATTCTGAAGTCCCTGTTGTGTTTCTTTATGATAGAGACATAGTTCTTCCCTTGCTGAAATAGTGAATGGTCACAGTCAATGCCATGATAGATGAGTTCTAACCACCCCAGGACCATGGTCAGAGACAACTGAGTGAAAGGCTGCAAATATTGACATGGAACTGTTCCTGTGAGCAAAACTGATGTGGATCCTCAACAAACCAATTCTTACAGTAACAGGTTATTAAAACTGAAATCTCTGATCTTGAATAAAAACATAGGAAAAGAATTAAAGAATTAGCGCATAAACAATCACAAAAAACTGAGATTTTATGATCCTAACAAGTTTGACATTACAGGAAATGATGGGGATAAGGTTAACAATGATCCTTTTATCCTCACACAAATATAGTAGCATAGTGGACAGCCATTTTGATGAGATCAGACCATATGTGTTCTCATCTTTTCTCAAGTTAGCATCTGCATACACATGATAAAGTTTGGGACTACATCAGCAACCTATATCAAGTGTTGGCTGTATATTTTTAGGCAAGTAATCAAGTTCTTAAAAGAATAATAGATCTGTATGATGACTCTTTGACTTTATATATATATATATATATATATATATATATATATATATATATATATATATATATATATATATATATATATATATATATATATATATATATATATATATATATATTCTGAAAAAAAAAGAGAATAATGTATCTGTTTATACATTAAATACAGCAAAAGAATCCCTATGGCTGGTAGGAGGTAACAAATTAAATGCTTTTGCATGATATCATGTGAAACCTTCTCTGATTCAGTCTGTTGCTTCTTAAATGATTGGAAGAGCAGTTAAGTTCTTCATACTAATATGTAAATATACACATGAAGAGGAGTGGTGATTCATATTTCTAGCAAGCAGCAACTGCTTGTACTGAAAAGTGTGTCACAGAGTGCAGGAAGCAGGAAAAGCATGTCTGACAAAAGACAAAGCATGAAGATCTAAGGACATCATCATCATCATCATCTATCATATATTTTGGTCTCATTTTGTTCGATTTCATATGGAGAAATTTCCCCAAAATGTGGCTTCTGTTGGAGTAGATTATACTGGAAATGAGAATGTAGCAAAAGGTTGTTGTTGAACACAAGAGTTAGTATGATCTCCTCGATCAAATAGTAAGCAAATCCACACAAACACCAACCCAAGAACAGATCCTGCAATCCTCAAGGGAGACGAAACTTGAAATCCAAAGACGAAGAAAGAATGCAGACAGGAGAGACGAAAGAGATTGAGAGCCATGAATGAGATGTCTGAATTCAGGTAACATAAAGCAGCAGTCACAAGAGGACGGATGTGAAGTAGTTTTGGAGACTGTCGTACAGCAATTACCTTTTAGTATTGGAAGGGTTTTAAAGAGCTATTAAGAAGATGATGGAGGAGATGGAGATCAGTTGACGTGCATTTGCCTTTGCCATCTTCTACTGCCACCGCCGGCTACTGAGAAGCCGGATCTGCTCCCGGTTTTTCTTGATGAAATCGTCGAATCGCCGGTTCAACTCGTCGTGGCTCGCGGACGCCGCCGGTGGCTGTGGCGGTGGAGGCGACTGCTCCCCGATCATTTTCCTCGCGGCATCCGTCGACTCGATCTCGGTCTCCGCCACCGCCACCGCCTCGTCCTCCTCTTCCACCGTCGTCATGCTGCTCTGGGACTCCGGTTCGACGCTCCTCTTGCTCGCAAGCGCCGACGAAGCCGTGGACCTCTCGCCGGACTCCGCCGTGAGGCACGATGCTTCGGACGGCGAGCGCTCATCGGGATCCGGTGCTGGAGTCGCCATGGTCGTCGGAGGCGGCAAGATACCCGGCGAGGGCCCCCGGAGAAGGCCAGCAGTAGGCGCGGGCTCGAAAGCCTTGAACCTTCTGGGACTCCCGGGCTCCGCCGTCTTCTCCTCCACCGCCCATTGCTCGCGGTGCTGCATCTGATCGGAGAGCTTCCAGATGGCGAGGATAATGAAATGGACGGCGATGAGGAGGTACGGCGGCGCGAGCCAGGAGCGGAGGGAGGCGCAAAAGCCCGGGAGGGCGGAGGACAGGACTTCAGCGGCGGCGGGGACAGCAGCCCTGGCGGCGGCGCCGCAAGAGACGACGCCGAGGAAGCAAAAAGCGACCTTGGTGGCCCAAATCGCTGTCTCGTAGCCGCTGGTCTGCGAACTCCATTTCGTGGCCGCCATCTCTGCAAACAATCTTACAAGAAGGAAGGAACACCTCGAACCAGAGAAAGACCCAAAATCCAAGAGCAGGAGAGCTGCGATTAGGAGTGCGACGCCATTGTCGGCAACCCTCGAGCTTTCTCTGCGATGCGGGGGAGGCAGAAGGCGTGGGTTCGAATTCGAAGTGGAAACTGTAGGCTATTTATGGCGGAGGGAGAGAGAGAGAGAGAGGAGGGCGGAGTTAATTTCCGGCCAAATGACTTCTGTTTCTCGTGATTTGACCTAATTACACTGTACGAAATGTCATTCATTGTTGCTTTAATTGTCGTGCGAAGGAAAAGATTACAGCATGTGAAATGACTTAACGGGCCTCCACGCACATCAGCCGTTGGATGGACGATGGAGGGTTGATAAATTTTCGGCAAAGCGTTAATAAAAGCTAAAAAGCAAAAAAAAAAAAAGTAAAAGGGATACAGTTAAATTCCGTCGCTTTGGCGGCGGATGCGGTGAGTCGCCAGAGGTAGCAAACAGGAAAGGATGGGTTCCCAGTGGTCAAGCTATCAGTCGGGCCCTACAGAATCGAACCAATAGTGCCCTCGGTGGGACAAAAGCCACACGAGGTCAGGTACGGCGGATCAAAAAGTGTTTCTTGGTCATCAAGGTGGTGTGATTCTTCACATGCATCACAAACTTTTTGTCCCCAATACAAGTTAGAAATCATCCACATTAATATCAAAATTTACTTGTAGGTTATCAATTTTAATTATTATTTTTGTCTCTGATTGCAAGGAAAGGTTGTGAGTGTCGATAGTTCATCAGAAAAGAAATATATTATTCATTTACAAATAAGAACAAGGAATATGGATATCACTGACTGACAAAAGAGTTGGTATCCAATCCTCACGAATTAGTACTACCATGCCACTTGAAATCATCAAAGATGCATCAAACAAATTTGAATCCATATATGATGAAAGGATATCACAAGGTAGGACCTACTCTATCAACATCATTCCAACTAATGATCTTATTGAAGCGTAACACAAAGGGCTCCTCGATGAGAAAAGTTTGCTGGCATTGACTTACAAACCAAATCATTTTGGAGAGAGAGAGGGGGGGGGATAGTTGTCCAAGAAACATGTTAATGAGTCAGCATACAAGAGGAGCACTATTTAGAAAGAATAAATTTGGAGGTAGGAGAGTAAATGATCCATATACCAACACCTACTCTCACATGAAGAGTTTCTTTGGGGATCCATAATTATTATTATATACAACCGATACTACATTAAAGTCTACATGTTACTATCCTTCTTCACTTAAATAAAGAGATTCTAAGTTCAAATCATTGTGGTAGTGGCTATCCAAGACTTCGAGTCAACCAATGCATGCCATGAAGCCAAAACATTATTGTTGACTACTATACTTCCCATTGCTTCTCTCAGTTGGTGGATGGTCCTGAAGGACAAAGAGTGGAGAAAAGGTTGACTATATGTTAAACATATATCACATATGTTATATATGTGAGACTTGACACCTTCCTTTCACCAACTACATGACCTGGTCAACAATAGGTTAAAAAGAAGATACCCCCGTCAACAAAAAGAATATATATATATATATATATATATATATATATATATATATATATATATATATATATATATATTAAACATACCAAAACTTAATAAATTAGAGAAATACTAAACCTAGCCATATTGATCCTAAAATGTCTCTAACTCACATTGACTCACTAGTGGGAGAGGAGGACAAGAAGGCTGCCATCACCTTAGATATAACTCAAAAGAAGATTAACCATGTTTAAGAGACAACACAACCCAAGGTCAAGGACAAACCCTAATATGTATAATGCTGAAAAAATCAGTAGTTTAAAAAAAAGTTACAAACCCTAGAAGATGTTGAGCAACTTAGATGATAAAGAATTTGATAAATCATTATATGGGTTTTTTTGGGTTTGAATTCTTCTTTCCTCACTTATCGTTAAGGATTTAAAGAAGCTTAATGCGATCAGCTTCAATCAGGATATGCAATCATCCTTGTACTATAATTCTCCTAAAAACACACTTTTAATTTGCACACTTGTGAGTCGACAGTACAGTTTATATAGTCTTCCAAGCACAAGACAAAATGTAAGCCACTAGAAGCTTCTGCACCCTCCATGAAGGCACTTGAAAGTCGAAAACGACACTTGTAACCCTAAATCCTAAACCACTTGGTCATCGTAGTAAGAACCAGTGCAAGGAAAACAACCCACATGAAAACAATCAACCCTCGCTCACCACTTTATCTTGCTTTTGCACCAAGGTAGCAACTCCAATGGGCTGATGATGACACCCATTGGCTCTATTCTCCTCCAACTTTCTTTTTGATAGGGCATATACAGGCGACGCACACTCCTAGGCAGCGGCCTGCAGCCACATCATCACCGGGCGTCGCACAGAGCTGAGGTGGCAGATCGCAACATGCCGGGTTCGGATCCCCGCAATACTGTACAAAGCCACCCATGGTACCATGCCACCCCGAAAAATCCGAGGTGACGTCGCTCGATGTCGTCCCGAAAAACTCAGGACGGTGCCGCAAGGTACGTGGCCACCCTGAAAAGCTTGGGGCGGCACCGCTTGACACTAATCCGTACGGGTTGACCGACGCCCACGTGGGAAGTATGGGTCGACCGCCCCAGCGGTCGACAGACATTAATTGACCAAGTACGATTGGCTCCACACGTAGGTATAAAAACTCACCCCTGGTCAGTACCGGGAGGAGAAAAGGGAAAAAAAAACTAACTTAATCTTAGGAGGGGTCGAGTCGGGTCAGGAAATCTCCCGATCCCGACTTGTGTGCAGAGATCCGATAAACACATGACGAGACATTGGACACATGAAGACTGACACCCATCTCCTCTGCCCGAGTATTGGACCAAACGACCCTATGCATCTGGAGTCAAGCCTTGCCGTGACTCCCCAACCACAAATATAAAAAGACACTAACACTTTTTTTTTTTTTCTTCGCCTTTGTAGAAAAGTGTTAGGTAGAAGGTGCGGAAGATATTTTCTTGTGAGATGAAAATTCACGATATGATTGAGGATTAAAATATTCAATGATGTTTATTTATTTTATTCATACTTATCTAATGATATTCTCCACATGGTAACAAGTTTGCTAACGCTGTGATTAAATCAAACTAACTGTAGTCTGACTTTTATCTCTACGAATAAGATGAAAAAAAAAGTGACATGTTAAGAGATTAAAAATACTATTGACCTGCAAAAAAATTCATTCCCGATATGCATCGTTCTGATGCTCTAGTAGTCGATTCAAATATTAACAAGTATTAACTTTTAAATGTAAGAATGTAGAGACAGGTCGCATACCTGGAGAGGGTTCTTGTTTGATGTTGATGGAAGATGAGTGACATGGACATCTCTGTGAAAGAACGGGACCGATGGAGTGGATCAGTGAACCCATCATACAGGACGGTGGGTGAGAGTTGATGCAGAGGCAACCCACTCGGTGTTTGGAGTTGTCATGGTTGGAATTGGTCTACGTACGGGCCCCATTCATGCCTCTGATGTTGAACGGATCGCCAGTCTGTACTATCTGAAGTGAACTGATGAAAGGTAGCCAAAGTTGATCAGTTCGTCAAATCCAACGTAAAGTTGAATCTCAGTCGGTCTCAAATCCCATCAAAATATATCTGGTTTCGATTCAGACGAGTCGAAAATAGATATCGATATCTGTAATGAGTAGATGTTCGAATCTGAACCTGTCTGATTTGATGTGTCTGCACCCAAATCTAACTCTCTATTCGAATGTTTCTCGGATCGATCAAAGGATTTCTGAGGTCGCATGTTTGTGAACCATGAATCTCGTATTATTCTGCACATTTGCCGTGATTTCTTTCTTGTAGGATTGTCTGAGGGACCAAAGGATTTGACGTGCACAGATCTCGAATACGCCAATCAAAATGTTTTTGCACATCTCGAAGCAGCATAGCACGATGGAGGAGATAGATAAATCATGATATGAAATTGATACACCTACAAAAAAGCATACAAGTGTAAATTAAACACATAAGGGTATATTTTTTCATGCAAATTCACCTTCAATTCGACATTCAATGTACTATTTAAAGAAGGATATTGCCTTGAGAAATGTTCAATACAAAAAAAAAACAAATAAACAAACCAAGTAATTGACTTGAAATTGTTGGAACATTATGATTTGTTGTTGTGGTTTATAATGAATGGAGCAAGAGTACAAAAATAAATAAATTATAAAAAAAAAGGAATACTCCAAGAACAAAATAATAATTTATGTGAACTAAAAAGATAGAGGAGAATGAAAGAGCAATAAGCTTCATTTCTATAGCTGTTTAGATGGAGTCTGAGAATAATCAATAATATGCATGGCCTTTCACAACTGGAGCAGTAATATAATATTTCAATTGCACTTAGCTATTGTAGTTGTCTGATAAACCCCACTTGTAATATATAGCTCATACCTAACTACAAAAGCCAAAAACTTCAATCACTTAGAAACATTGATCCTTCCACCTACACATCTATCTTATATTGCCTGCAATCTTTGTGCTCTAAATACTGACTCTCATACAGCAGGTATGGGGGATGCTTCTTCCTAACCATTATCATATGGTTGCATCATCAACAAACAGGCACTAGAATTCATAAACAATTGACACCTAATTTAACATGATTCGAATTTCACTAAACAGCTATGTAGCTATTTTCTGTGCAGTCATGATGACATTTTTTAGGACAATGATGAAACCATTGATACAACAGGGAGCAGATTGTGACTTGCTTATTTGCATTGTCTAATGCCTCATGCATCAAAGATTGTGAGTGAGATATATTGACTTGAGCAAACTGCATCAGTTGCACTAATCATGAACTAGCATCCAAATGACATGGTTTAGCCATAACATTTATCAAATCTTCGTACAGTATGGCAAAAATTACACCAACCAGCAAGCACATCATTGTGGCATAATTAAATAACAAGAACCTTTTTTTAAATCCTAAAGTAAGTCAACAGCTTTGTTACTCTCCATGCCACTTATTGCCTGTTAGATATATCTGATGAACAACAAAGTAAAAAAACAAAAAAGTAATTTACATGCTTGAACATATAACTAATTTGATCTTAATAAAATCATGCATGGTTTAATCATGAAACTAATCACATTGTGTGGCTGACAAGCCGCCTAATTAAAGTACTTACTCGGATTAGGAGCTGTATAGGATAAGGATAATGATTCGATATCTAAAATATGACAGCACAGATTTTGCTACTAGAATAAAACTGCTAGCAATCAAGACATCTGTTGCTAGCCCATTAAAAATATCTTGAACTGACCATGTCTCCAACATGCACAAAATAAACAAAGCCATCTACTAAAGTAACAAGCAACGTTGATGTCTCAACCTAAGCCATTATTGCAGCATTTGATTCAGAAACCCTTGTCATTTCATTATAACAGTGAACAGCTCTTTATTTCGAATACTATTTCAGTGAAGTACTGTCTCTAGTTGAAGATTTGCTCATATAACGTGACATCTGGAACTATTGTCTTTGCTAATCTTAATATAACAGAACCATAGATCTGCCAATAAATCCAGCCAAATGAAGTTAGATCAGTATTTCATTGCTTGGAATAGGTATCAACATTCTACAAATTCATCAAGATTTCTTGGAAAAAAATTAAAGACAGTCAAAAACTTCATACAAACCTTTTTTTTTTAAATCATGTCAAAAAACATAATAAACTTAAACTTGAAAAATTGGTGCCACACATTAGATGGATTAGGACAAGATTTAATTTTTATTTAACAAACATAATAAGTCTTACAGTAGATAGAAGTTAACAAACATAATAGGACTATCATCATACTCTATTTAACGTTCTAAGATCTCATATACGATAAAAGTAAATTACCTATTATTATCAAAGATTACTCATGATTATAATACAAAAAATTATAATGTTGATATCTCATGTATGATAAAATAAGTTGTCTATTGTTATCGGATATTACTCATGATTATAATACAAAACATTATAAAGTTATCTATTGTTATCAGATATTACTCATGATTATAATACAAAACATTATAATGTCAGGTCGATAATACCGATTTAGATTTTTTAAGGATCATAGACCAACATTTTAATGCCCAAATGACATTAGTAGGCTAAATTTTGTAGATCATGAAACAGTTGATAATATTGAAAGCAAACAACCAGAAAATATTATAAATGAAAAACTGTATAGGGCCCAACCGGGTTCGAACCGGTGACCTCTTGATCTGCAGTCAAATGCTCTACCACTGAGCTATGGACCCATTTTGATTTAATTTTAAGGATCATAAATAACATTATAATGACCAAATGACATTGTTGGAATAAATCACGAGACACTTTATAATATTGAAAGCAAACAACCAGAAAATATTATAAACGAAAAATTTACAGGGCCCAACCGGGTTCGAACCGGTGACCTCTTGATCTGCAGTCAAATGCTCTACCACTGAGCTATGGACCCGTTTTGATTTAATTTTAACTGATTTTTGTTTCAACAACATGAGCTAAAATTTTAAGCTTCGGTGAACTTGAAAGAAATATATTAACATTTAAGCACCAATAAACACAAAAACATCAATCGCATAATCTTCCATCATAAATAGCTAAGTTGGAAGGTTCCTGTTCTCATTTTATGCATGTTATGGGAGAAAGTATGGACGACAGACATATCTAGCATAGTAAATCAGATCAACCTGTAAAATAAGTTGGATAATTGTCCCAACCAACAGTTTGTTATTGTAATTTAACTAACGCTTTGAATTCTCAGTGGGCTAATTCTACTTATACTTCTAGTAATGCTACATGTTTAAGTTACAGATTATGGACAAATTTAAGATCAAGAAAGCACATATTTAGAGATTTTGACAAAATAAACCATCTTTCATAATCCAATTTAAAATAATCATCCTGTTTTCTTATATAAGTCAGATAGATATTTCATGTTTACGAATGGACAACTTCCAAATTATTAATTAATAGGAAGAATTTGTCAATCTACGTCTATTAAAAAGATTTTTTTTTTTCAGTGCAAATAACTTTAATATACTTGGCATTTTTTGGCTAAAGGACATATTATTGCATTAGGCTGACAGAGTTCCACTGATAAGTCTACTAAAGGATTTCTAGTCTTCCCAAAGAGATTATGTCAATTTTACATCTTCATGTGAACTCCCAAATAATTACTGTACATACTTCAACATAACATCTTGTCATTTTTCCAACTTGATTTGACCTTCTATATCAATGCTATATAATCTCTCACTAGAAAAATCTTGTCCAAATATGAGAACTCGATAACTTAATAGATCAACATCCAAGTTTCCTACATATCTGGCTAAATCTAACGCAAAGGAGGACACTGCACGGACATTAAGCATCATTTTTGAACCCTAATCTCATAAATGGCTAATAATAAAACAAGAATAATTGTAAAGATATCTATATATTATCCCTTTTGTCTGATGAAGAACTGTCGTCTCATGATCTTGTAAATGCAGCACTTCCTCATGTTACTTTCAGAAAAAGATCCTTTGATGAGTAACAATCAGATATCTGGCTGCATTTCTTAGATCAACATCCAAGTTTCCTACATATCTGGCTAAATCTAACGCAAAGGAGGACACTGCATGGACTTTACCCATCATTTTTTAACCCTAATCTCATAAATGGCTAATTCAAAAACAAGAATAATTGTATGGATATCTTGTATTGCCCCTTTTGTCTGATGAAAACTATCGTCTCATGATCTTGTAAACGCATCACTTCCGCATGTTACTTTAAGAAAAAGATCCTTTGATGAGTAACAATCAGACACTTAGATGTCTTTCTATAAGATCTTCCTATGATGAGGATCGAAGAAGAGTTCGGCGGTACATGTCTCAGCAGATTCAATGGTAGAAGATTCAGGAAAGCAAGACTTAGAATCCCATTACTACAAGATAGATTACATGATACCAAGAATACCATCCAGTTTCAGGCTGAACATGGTCATAACAGAACCAAGAATAATACTATCAATTGTGTTTTCAATAGATAAAATCACAGGGCTACCAATTCAAGTCCTTTTTGTCCCTAGCAAAAACCTGCAACAAAAATCGGTCTTATGTCTCGATAAATCCATCTCAAACTCTACATCCTTACTCATAATAATAAATTATAATATTCTACAAGAGATGAGAACTGGTGTTTGGATAATCTTGAAGCACCTTGAATGTCCTGGGAACAATGGGAATTTTCATGCCCAATTTCAGGTTAAATTTCCATTCTCCACTCGATGCCCCAAAACAAAACAATCTATCAATTGACTAACGATTAGTACTGGTCTGGTTAAGATCCAAGTCTTGAATCTTACATCCAGTGCATACTTCTTTGAATCCAATCCGTCCTAAGCACAACCACCAAAAACTAGCGATTCTTGTACCATATAGAAAGTAATTACTCCGATGTAACGCTACCAATTCGTAGAAAGGAGAAAAACTGAACGGTCCAGCAGAAGAACAGACCTGAGAAGCCCATTCGACGACGGAGGAGATCAATATATGAGGTTTCCACGACAGCACACCGGTCGAGAACTCGCTTCGGCCGATCCCGCCGCAGCAGGCGAGAGGAGGGGAGCCGCCGAATGAGGAGGACAACGAGGGGTACCGGAGGCGGATGAGGCGGCTGAGATCGAGACGCCAGAGCTAGGAGGAGGGAAAGGGGAAGGGGGGGGGGGGGCGGGAGAAACCCGTCGCGGTAGTCTGGTAGAAATCGATGGCGAGCCCTCGCGGTTTGTTGCTTTTGGCGGGCGGTTTGTTGCTTTTGGCGGGCGGTGTTGTGGCTCTTATTACCGGTTCAACTCGGAGTGAGTTGTTGTGGCAGTCCGAGTCCACTCGTCGCGACATTGTGGAGTCGCACCGCAACTGGACTGTATGTTTTATAAGCCACATTGACCAT